TTATATTCGTTTTCCGCTTTAGTTTTTTCTTTGTCTGTTTTTGCGGTGGTGAGCTTCCTGATTAAATTGTCTGCTGTGGTGAATTGGGCGATCTTACGATCTGAATATAAGTTAATTATGTTTTGAACTTTTGTTCTGGTGGCTTGGTTGATGCGGTTTCTTCTGTTGTTATAAAATGTTTGTAGTGCTTCCGTATTACGCTTAATGGCTTTGGACATATACTAATATAATTAAACTATATATTTATTTTCTTTTTAAGTATAAATTTTCCAAGGATTTTTTAAAATACTAAATGTTTTTTAATATATAGAAATATGTCTAAAGATAAAAAATAATATATAGTATAGTATAATATGAGTAAAAATCCCGAGGATATGACAATGGATGAAATCAAAGAGCAACTCGCCATATACAGCAGATTGTATTACAACAAGCGTAGGACTGATGAAAAGTATATGCAAAAGAAACGAGAATCTGCACTGCGACACAATCAGAGAAAGAAGATCAAGGAGTACGAAGAAGCTAACAATATCAAACTGAACCCCGATGAGATGACAGAAGAACTGCTATCTGAAATAATGAATGCAAAAAAACCCTTTAAAACAAAGCGCGGCACACCCAAATATGATATGAGCAAGTTCAAGATCATAAAGCCGATGGATGGCGAATGATGATTTAATTTAATTATTAAATCATTATTTTCTTTTGTTTTTATATGAGTGAGAAACAAAAAATTATTAATGATGTGTATTTTGATCGCGCGGGGTTTGGCTCAAAAAACCGGACTTTAGAAGAAGCGCGGGAGAAAGATAAAACCATCACGATGTCTGATATTAACGAGTTTTTTAGGAAGAATGTTGATCAAAAGCGAAAGCCCGTCGGTTCAAACAGCTTTGTCGCCCCGCATTCAGCATATGAGTATCAGATGGATTTGTTTTTCATCAACGACTTGAAGGATCAAAAATTTAGAGTAGGAATGTTAATGATTGATATATTTGATAAGTTTATGCATGTCGTGGCAATTAAAGGTAAGAAGGAAGAAGATTTAGCGAGTGGGATGATTGAATGCTTACATAAAATGGGGAAGAAGCCCAAACTAATTTATACCGACGACGAGGGAGCAATGAACACGGAGGCAATACAAAAGTATTTACAGGAACAGAACATAGAACACTATAGAACTAGGGCACACGCAAATTTCAGCGAAAGGGCCATTAGGACGTTCAAAGATTTATTATATCGGCGTGTTGAAGCGGATCAGAAAAAGGGTAAAGACAATATCCAATGGACTGATTATATTTTTGAAATATTATTAACATACAACAATAAAATGAAACATTCCGCTACTGGTTTCACCCCAAAGGATGCAAGAAAACCGAGCAACGAATTAAAAGTTAAACTGCATTTAAATATGAATGCTAAACGAAATCGGGTCTATCCTGATCTAGGTGTTGGTGATGAAGTTAAAATATATAGGAAAAGGAAACCCAATGAGAAAGAACGTGTATCAAATTGGTCGCAAAATGTTTATACCATAGAAAAAATTGATGAAAAGCTGGGTCAAAAATATTATTATGTTGAAGGGAACAATAGAGCGTATTTGCGGTTTGAGCTGTTAAAGGTGTAGCTTTTCCTGCGTTTTTGAAGTTGCGGGGGCTTTCACAACTTGAGTTGCAAGTCGTTCTACTACTTGCAACTTGTAGTTGTAGGTGTTCCAAAAAAACCTATTTTTGGAGTTGCATGATCTGCTTGAACAGTTTGTCGCCCTGCGAAACAGGCCAATCAAGTTATCGTGTCGTGCTCACGCAGCTTCCGCAACAGACCAGCGATGTGGCGATGTGGCCTAAGTATGTAATGCAAGAGGTATGTCAAGTTACACTGAGCTCTCAGATGCAATGGCAGGCAATGGACCTCCGTTGAAGAAACCGCGGTTTTTAGATGTTGAGGAAGCTGTTGCGAGCCAGTGGATCCAGGAGAAGCTGGCAGAACTGGACCCAACTGCCGATTTTGCTAAAACGGCCCTTGGAAGGATACCGAAGAAGGTTCTGCTGAAGCTCACAGCTGAAGATCTGGCTGATGCGCTGAAGGGATCCATTCAACATGACGGCGTTAGGCCATGGATAGCGCGTGCTCTTTACAACTGCATCCACGGCCCCACCCCAGAAGCACCGGCCCTTCGGCCCGAAAACAATATATTGTTTGCACGGCTTCTCCGGTTTTTGGTACACCTTTTACTTGTAGGCCTCCCCGATAGGCTTAGTTGATTACCTTACTTATTGGGTTTAGAGGTTAGCTCTTTGGTTGTAGCATGGTTGTTTTTTCCCCCCTAGGTGTGGTTTCCTCGTAGGGTTTCCCGATTGGGTTAGTTGATTGGGTTGCTTAGTTGGGTTTAGGGGGTTGAGTTGTTCTTTTGTTTTAGTCCTAGGCTGGTGGGTTGAGTTTAGTTGTTGGGTTGGGGGGCTGATTGCTTGGCACACGAGGCTGAATCCGTTCAGGATGAAGACCCACTTTGCCAGTGGATGGAGGAGGCACTTGGACAGAAACCCAAAGACTGGGAGGCCAACTCTGTATACAGCTTCAAGACAGACATCCTGGGCGATGGCTACATGCAAAAGGACCTCGTTTTGCGCACTTGCTATGTACAGATACGTGCAATACTCACAGGCTGGTTGAAAGAAAAGTTTGAATTGGCAACTCCGCGGGGGTTGTTTGTCATCACTGGTACTCCAGGCATTGGCAAATCAGTGCTGTTGGGCTATATGGCTGTGTACTTGGCCGATGAGTATGACCTCGTCATTCGCAGCAACTACAAATGGTATTCACGCAAGGCTGGACCAAATCAAAAAACTCTCAGACACAACGAAGCGCCGCATATGCTGGAGAAGTCCTCGACCGTCCTGCTGATAGACCCTGTTGGCGGCCAGACCACAGATGATGTGAAGCATCGGACACAAGGATGCACGATGGTGTTCATTTCCTTGCGCATGAAGCCCTACCACAGCACCTTCAGTCAGTCTGCGGAACATGCGAAGCGCCTGTTTCAGCCAATCTGGTCGAAAAACGAACTTGAGTCGCACCGAGTGACTCTGTTCAAAGGTCAGAGCGAGGAAAGTGTGCAGAATGCCCACGATCTTCTTGGTGGAAGTGTGCGATGGCTGAAGCGATTTTTCCAGCTTGTAGGAGAGGGCAAGACGCCAGATGAAGCCGCCCGAGAGCTGATACGTGAGTGCATCCAGCACTTGGACACATTTGAATCGTTGGAGAAGTTGGTGCGATCTCTTCCCAGTGGCAAGGCAGACACGAAGGAGAGCTTGGCAAGTTCTATAATGCAAATTGATGCAGACCACTCTGACAATTTCAGCATGCCCAGGGTGCAACTTATTGATTCGGAGGCTGCCAGGGATGAAATCTGCAACAAGCTTCAGATCACAAGTGCAGAAGACCAAAGCCACTTCGTCAACAAGTTTCTTCACATGAAGGAGCTGAGCATCTTGGTTGGAAATGTCTTTCAGCGCCTGGTGATGGGGCGGTTGACAATGGATGGAGAGAAACCATTGAAGCTTCAATGCAGACCCCTAGCTTTGACTGAAGGGGAGAAGGCAATGCAGTGTGATGTTCCAAACCACAGGTTGATGATGCAGCCGAAAGGTGCGGCGCCACTTGGCCAGCTAGAACTGAGTCCAAATCAGTTGTACATCCCGATCTCGAAGAATTTCCCAGCGGCAGATGCTTTTTTTGCCACTGCGGAGACGACGTCTGCACCAACAACATACAGACTTTGGTTGTTGCAGGTGACAAAGAACGAAAAAGAGCACAAGTGCAAGATTGGGCCGATGCATAATGCCATGAAGACTGCTTTCCGGCAACTGAAAAGTGTTTCAGATATCAGCTGGGTCATCATTGCGCCGAAAGGGATTGCGTCCAATTACAGCGTCATGCAGAATGTGGAAGGTGAGTGGAACGAAGGCACATCTCCTGTGGGCGTAAGCCAATACGTCGTCGATTGGGACACAAAGCTCTAGTTGCTTCGCTTCCTGTGAAAAGTGATCGAGAACCACTGCTTGCAATCCTGAACCCCTAACCTAAACCCTAAATTCCATAAACCCCCCCTTGCCTATTTAGGCTATTGGCACCTAGGTAGGATGTAGGTCTTGGGAATAAGATAATTTCCTAAGATTGTATTTTAACTTTGGGGGGTGGGTGGTAGCATTTTCTACGAGATGGACTTTGCCTATTTTCGGGTGGTGAGATCCGGCTGTTGATCAATGGTTGCTGTTGGGGGGAAAGTGGGCAGGTGTTGATGGAAAATGTCGTCGAACAGTGCTTTTGGGATGCCGTTCTTAACGGGTTGGGTGAAGGAGGTGGCAAAATCTGTTGAGTTTTTGATGGGAAAATGGTGCGATTTTTGGGGGGGGTGAAGGCTGTTGGCTTCAGTTCGCACGGGTGTGTCCTAGTTGGCGCAGGTGTGTCCTTGAGGTCGCGTGGGTGTGTCCTTGAGTTCTCGCGGGTGTGTCCTTGAGGTCGCGTGGGTGTGTCCTTGAGGTCGCGTGGGTGTGTCCTTGAGTTCGCTCGGGTGTCCTTGAGTTTGCTGGGGTGTGGTGTTGGGGTAGCTGGAAATACGTCAGGGTAGCGCTGAAATACCTTGCGATCATGCCGTAGAACCTCAGGGTTTGCAACCCTTAACCCTAAACCCTGAACCAAATCCTACGAGGACCCCCTTGCCCCTTTTGAGTAATAATGCCACCTTAGAGATAATAGATGGGGTAATGGTTATTCCTATACTTGTATTGATAATGGGGTAGTAGTAGTGATATATCGGTGAAGTGTAGGGGGGAGTATAGGAATGACCATCTAATGGGGTAGTAGTAGTGATATATCGGTGAAATGTAGGGGGGAGTATAGGAATGATCATCTAATGGGTTGGCGGTGGCATTATTACCCAAACTGGGCAAGGTCTACTCTGACTGAATGCTGCTGAAGCATCGTGCTGTGTTGCCGAGGACGGCGGGAGCGGTGGACAGCCCACCACCAAGAGGAAGCTGAACCTAAAGCTAGAGATCAGCGTAAGAAGGCATGAAGTGTCAGCTCCAAAGATCTTTAGGTGATTGCGGTGCGTTGCTGATGCTAGCATGGCCTGCTACATTGTGATGGTTTGCGAGTTGCTTTGCAAGTTCAGATATCCATAGAGTCTTTAGTCGTTTGAAGACATTGGTGCCCAAGATGCTATGACACCTAGGCCGCGAAATGGCCGCTCGCACAGCAAGACGACCGCAAGCGCCTTAGGTTCTGGCATGCCCGCGCTGCTTCATCCGTGCGACAGCTCATTCCTTTGTCCCGTTTGCTTGATTTGACCTTCTGTTGTTGTCAATGGTGTTCCAGGTGCACTTTCATCCTCGGTTTGGTGCCTTCGTGGCGGGCGCCACTCACTCAAGCCGAACAAAGTTGGGTCAAGCCAAGTAAATTAGGAACCTCTAACATCATGTTTTGGTTTTTGGAGCTCACCTTCCTTGGTCAATCAACGTTGACGTGCTGAGGTTGAGGAGGTACCTTGTGACGATGTGCAAGAGGACAGGAACTGCTTTGTGTGGCCAGCAGTCGGCATGTCTGGATACATCGCTACCATCCCAAGTAAGCATCAGAAGCTAACAAGCTCTGCAAGTTTGATCTGACAGGCACTTCGTCTTGTCAGCTTCGGGTCGCAGGCCGGACACGATGTGCAATGCTGGTGAAGCCCTTTGTGCCCTTTCCGCCATCTGGCACGAGAATAGCTCAAGATATCGGCGCTGGGTGCAGGTCAGAACAACTGCCGCGACCATGCTGAACGATCGCTCGTCTAGGTGACCCAGCACATGTTGTGGCACTCAATTTCACCGTCGAAGTTGAAATTCGAATTGAAAGAGGCCGCGACGTTTGCATAGTTTGCGGGCTGGCTTCCACGCACTCGTCGGTGTGGCAGCATCATTCGAGGTCACATGCGATTTTCTGTCTGCGCATGGAGCGGTCTACTTCCAGCAACAGGTTGGAGGGTGTGGGCATGATGTCTACACGAGAACACAACCAAACTGAGCCAGACAGGGTGAGGGACAACGCATGGGTTGCGCAGCATGTCGCTCTCGCCTGCCAGTATCATGCTCGTGGACCTGGCTGGCCGTGAGCAGGCGCCACGACATGCTGTTTCGAATGTTAATGAAGACTGAAGAGTTTTTGCCTTGCACATCCGTGACTGCCCATGAACCGCTCTGTAGCGTTTCCGTTGTCCACCGCTTCGTGAGCAGGAGCGGCTCTCCATGTGTCGCACGGAGAGGTTTAAGGCGCACACGATCCCAGTCATCAAATTTCCCGATGTTGATCAGATGCTTGAGAGATTTCGCTGGAGCAGCTGTCGAGTGCAGGAGTTGACCCTGATCAACCGATCGCTCTTCCATTTGGCCCCTTGGATCCTCTCAGACCCGTTCTGGTTCGCCTGGTTCGGGGGTTTAAGTGGGATTGGAAACTACGTGCAGCCAGATGCCTTACTGCATGAATTCGCTCACATCATGCTGTCTCGAAAGCTTTTTCCAGCTAAACATGTACATGCGAAGAAACAGTGCAGCATCCCAGTGAGTTTTGGCAATTGCCTTCTGCCATGCATCCGGTATCCTGCCCCCTGGGCCTGAGCTGCCCTTGCCAAAGAGTGGCCGCCATGACAGAATTAGATTTTGAGGGTGCCCTTCCACAGCCGCAGGCCAGATGTGTCCGGGAACTGGCAGCATCCCAGGCAAGCGTGTTCTGCTAGAAGCCTTCACACTGGGCAGACATTGACGACTGCATGCTGCTTGTAGCTGGATCGTCTTAGCACAGAGTAACTACTTCGCATGGACATTGGCATTGTGTTGGTGAAGAGGTTGGCAGTGGAACTGCTGGTGCCGGCAACAGTGCCCAGGGCAGCTTTGGTTGCACAGGGCATACAATGGACCTACCAGCGCCACATGCGATCTTCATTGCACGTTGCGACAGCATGTTAGAGTTGAGAGGCTTTGAAAGATTCACCGCTCTTTGAGGCGGCTCTTGCTATTTTTCTCACTTGCTGATGGCTGCATGCTCAGGAAAGGACAGCGCTCAGTGGCATCACTTCAGGCTTGTGCTCAGCCAAGCCGACTAAATCAGCCGAGCCCACCCAATGGGTGGGCTGAAAAGTGCGCTTTCAGGTGCACCCTTTTTTGTTCAGTTGCAAGAAATTCTTCCTCCTTGCAGAAACTCAAAGCTGACGATGGTGCTGGGCCATGCCTTGGCTGGGCAGCGGCCCTAGGCCATGAGCATTTTGAACAAATTTTTCCCACCTTTCTCACCACTTCTCTCTTTGCTTCACCGGCGATTGCTGGCGTCAGCAAGCTCAGGAACTCGCATACTGCCGTGGTAGGGACGGTCTCGCCAGCGCAGATCTCCTTTGAGGAAAATGGAGCCACGTCGAGCCACGTCTCTAGCCATCCTTTGGGCCCTACTTATGCATGGTACATTGCAGGACTCTCTTGCCACACTCAGATTCTGCGAGTCCGTCAAGCAGGCGCAAGTCGCAGATCTTCCTGGCTTTGTTGAACTGGTGATGTGCTCAAGCACAGCCCACTTTGGCAAAAGACTGGCACGCTGCTTCGCTCTGCAAGGTGCGAACGAAGCCTGCGCTGCCGGTTTCTCACAGGGAGGATGTGGTCATGGAGTTGCAGGCCAGGCATACTGCTTTCAGTTTGCTCGAGTCGTCCAATGTATCCCATGGTTGCGAGGACGAGGTTAGGCGATTGGAGCTGGAACTCCTGCGCGCGCGTTCGGCTACGCGGCCTGCATTTTGGTTGTTTCTTGTGGTTAGGCAGTCGGCAACTGTGCACCGACGGCTGCACCGCGGCTAGGGGGCTCCACCTGATTTATTTCCAGGACAGTGCTAGACATGGTCCGGAACACTGCCTGAAATTCGCTTGGCAGCCTCCTCACCCCCCCCGCCCCCCCCGCCCCCCCCCCGCACCTTCCCGCACCCCGAAGTGTAGGGATTTCGGTCTGGAAGCTGTTGGGCCACGACCCCTTCCCGCTGACGACTGGGGACCCTGATTCTCAGGGCCGTGCCATCGTCGAACGGCAACTTGGCGAGGCTCAGGCACGCAGTTGGAATTATCAGCAGCGGCTACTACTTGACATATGTTGTCGTGCTAGTGGGGGTAGTGTTGGTCGTGGTAGCAGCAGCAGCATGTGACAACTAATGACAGTGGTGGCAGTTTGTGTTAGCGCTAGCTGTCGAAATTGTCGAAGTCGTAATCGTAGTACATGATTAAATGCCTGCATGCATATGCTCTTGCCCTTCACAGCTTCGCAGCTGTTGAGCGCAGTCCGAGAGTCAAATTTGATGGGAGCATGCCGGGAGCAGCAATCCAGACTCCTCAAGTTGCACGCCGTTGCGTCCTCAACTTCACTATGCCTCTCTACACCCTACACTTCTCTAGAAGCCCTATGCAACCACCGTACTTTTCATCAGCCAAGTTAGGTTTAGGGACATCTTGATTTGCGTGTAGAGCACATGGGTCTCTGCCCTTCCCGGTCCCGGCCCGGGACGGTCGGGACGGCCGGGACGGCCGGGACGGCCGGGACGGCCGGGACGGCTGGGACGGCTGGGACGATGGCGGAGCCGCTGATGGCAGGTACGGCAAAGCAGGGCAAACCTTTTTCCGCCTTTTTTCAGCCTTCTTTCAGCTTTCTGCGAGAGTGCAGCTAGCGAAGCGCAAAGTGTTCGGGCGGCTTTTGCATATCATGTGCGATCTGCCTGTGCACTGATCTACTTCGTGACTCTGAGATGTTGCCGATGCGAGCAGCGGCACGAACGCAGGGAGTGCAAGCTCCCAGATGGGAAAGGCTGGTCTCATCTAGGTAGAGGACTAGTGAAGCGAGATGGAGAGTGGCTGGGTTCACCTGTAGTGTAGGCTTCACTTCCTTCGCGCAGGCGAAATCGCTGAAACTTTGTGGTCCGAGCAAGATCCAGGCGGAGATCGCTGGTTGCTGGTACGTACTCTCACTCTCTCACTCTCTCACTTCTCGCTCTCTCGCTCTCTCGCTCTCTCGCTCTCTCACTCTCTCACTCTCTCACTCTCTCACTCTCTCACTCTCTCACTCTCTCACTCTCTCACTCTCTCACTCTCTCACTCTCTCTTCACTCTCTCTTCACTCTCTCTTCACTCTCTCTTCACTCTCTCTTCACTCTCTCTTCACTCTCTCGCTCTCGCGCTCTCTCGCTCTCTTGCTCTCTCGCTCTCTCGCTCTGTCTCGCTCTCTCGCTCTTTCTCGCTCTCTCGCGCTCTCTCGCTCTTTCTCGCTCTCTCGCACTGTCTCTCTCTCTCTCTCTCTCTCTCCCCCCCCCTCTTTGAGCTATGAGCAAAGGACACAGCTTTCATGTCCAGTTCTGATTAGTAATCTCCCCCAAGTAAGTTCAAAGCGGAATCGTAGAGTATTGCTGTTTTTGGCCCTCTGAATCAGGTTTGGGAAATGGTCTTTGGGGGGGTCAATCTGTCTGCGGCGGCGGGACGACCTAAATAGCCACTTCCGGGTCGTTTTCGTGCAAGACAAGCCTTCAAGACTTCAATCCTGAGAAAGTCTGGCCTTGAAGCCTGCAGGCTTTTGGTTCAGATCACAAAACTGCATCCTTGAAAGTTTCGACTCTTGAAGCTGCAGCCTTGAAGGCTGGAGGCTGTCGTAAGTCCCGGGCCGGTTTATTAATCCATTTCGGTAGTCTCTTCGCTCTGTTGCGACAAACGCTGCCTGTCGGAACATGTCGGAACCGAATATCGTGTTGAATCCTCAAAGTGTATCTGCATTTTTCCAGGGGTGGGTGTGGTGCATCTGAGTGCATCTTCTTCTATATCTTTCTGTGGAAGAGCCAACGTGTCCTTTGGCAGACTCTTCGGGGCCGACTGCGCGGTCGAGAGGTGGTGCTGATCTGCTGCAGCGAGGCCCACGAGGAGAGCCCCCTTGCAGACTGTTCTCAGATCCGGAAAGGTTCCCAAATGGTTCCCAAGAGGTGCGCAAAACGGGGCTGACACTCCTATCTCCTCTGAGGATGCAATCGACCTCACTCGGAAGGATGGCATTGTTGAAAAGCTCACGCCTCACAGGATTCAAGGCATGGGGCTTCTCAGGCCACCCTGAGCTCAGGTATGAAGACTGGATCCAACTTTCTGGTCCTGATGCAATCGGCTTCAATATTGCAAGCGCCTGGAAGTCCAAGGTAGGCAATCGGGGGGAGGGAAGGAGAGAGCATTTGCAGCCAGCATGGCGTCAGGTGCATGCGCGCAGAAAGTATACGAGCCAACTGCTAGAGCCGCCAGGTGTCTCCTTGGAGAAGGCCAAGGAGTGGGCTGAGGAGACATTAGAGGAAGCTGAAGAAGAGGAAGAGAGTGAGGAGGCCGCCATGTTCAGCTGGTGCAATCAGTGTACTCAGCGGCTCAGTGGCTTGCGTATGCCAGGACGACAGCGAGAGTGAGTCTGGAGAGGAAGATGCGACTCCGAAGAACCGGGTCGAGAAGGATGGCGCCGTGCTGGTCTTCATCGTTCGCTGCCGAGCTGGGTAAGTGCAAGTCGAAAGAGCATTCTTGAGCAGCCTCACGCCCTGAAACATGACTCAACCTGTCGCGAGGCCGATGGAGGAAACTCCGGCAAAAAGAAAGGCAAAGGCTCAGCATACATCCTTCTGCGCGGCGCTGAACGGCATCCTCGACACGTGCTTCCACCAAGCGGCGCAGCTTGCCCCCATGTTGGCTGTTGAGGCGCTGCGACCGTGAAGGCCGTGGTCTGGAATGCGTGTACCACCGGGTTAACTTAGGTGGCCTTTGAATGGGGTGACCTGGATGAGGAGATGCAAGCCGCACCCTGTAATCCTTCGCTTGCAACGAGGTAGCCACACATCATAGCCTATAGCGGACCCTCTGCATCAACTTCTGCCGTTTTGCAGGAGGCCCGCCACTTTTGTCGTCGCCGGAAGGATGGCCAGGAATGGCTGCAGTTATGCTTGACTTGTTTAGTAACACTGCTTCAACACTAGCAACACCGCACTGCACTCATGCAAGGGAGCTGTGGAGCTGATGGGGTTCGGGAGTATTGAAGTGCAGTGGACCGATTTTGGACACACCTTGAGCCGTTTGCTGCTGTCTTCCTGCAGGACATGCAAGCGGAGGAGCTGGATGCTCTCCTGCACAAGCGCAAAGCACAGAGACGAGCAGAAGGCTGGGGCGGGCATCTCTCCCGATGCCGCAGTCTGCCTCACCGCTTATGACGCATGTTTGTTCATGCCTCATGCAGTCAACTGCCGTTTGCAGCCCGTTTGAGGCCTGGAGCTCTTCGACGATTGGCTTGTCCATCACCTTGAGATACTCGGCCAGATGATAGTTGAGTTCCACAGACCATGAATGACCACCTTAACCAGAACCATCGACATTGCCGCCATAGAAGGAGATGCGGTGAAGGCAGCATCCTTTACATTGGCGAGATGCTTGACAACTGAATCACTCAGGTCCTCCGGCATTCCGATCGAAGTGGTTCTAGAAGCACCGATTCCGGCTGATGAAGTGGAGCTCCACATCGAGGCAAGTGTGTGCTGCATCCTGCAGCGAACCGCTGCTCCAGTAACGAGTGCATTAGGTTATTAGCTCATTGCTGGTCGATCGTGCAGAGGAGGCTCGCATGTTGGTCTCGCCAAGGGCCCCTGTTGCGCTGCGGACCTTGGTTGTCATATCGTTCAAATCCCTGAAGTCAAGGCTTTTGCGTCGTTCCCTTTGCCGACTCACACTCTCGCTTCAGTCCCATGTGCATCTCGTGGTCCCGCCACAGTCTGATGATGTCTGATTAGTACTTTGGCAATGGCTCGGTCTCGACATGACGGCAAGGATGCACTTTTCAGCCTCGCGGGCTCTTGGATGGGGTGCGCCTCGTGCGTCCGTTCTTCGTGGGGTTCGAAGTTGTGCGTGGATACATGTGCACACGCTCTTCGTGCGGTGCAGAACTGTCGTCGAGGTTGTGTCATTGGCTCTCGGGGTCATCATGCTTCACTACACAGCATCCCCTGCATGGATGAACTTTGGTGTACCCGTTCGTGTATGCGAGCCATGTGTAAACTTGGAGAGGAAGGGATGCCACCTGCCCCGGTGGCACACCACAGCCTTCGTCGACTGGAGCTGGACTCGGATTCAGACAGTGAGGACGAGAATGACGGGGGGCAACTTGGCGTCAACGTGACAATTCAGGGTCCAAAAAGGAGCCCTCGAGGGCCTAAAAAATGGTTGGGTTGGCACGCATGTGGCCAAGGAGCGACGCTTACATCGATTACCTTCGCCGACGCCTGCAAGGCAGACTTCCTCGAGAGCGATTGCAGCTTGTTTGGACATGTTGGACATGTCTGGACATCTTGGGATCCACCATCGGTTAGACACACAAGTGAAAGAAGAGAGCGCTCTGGCAATTGTCCCCTGATGTGCCCACAAAGATGTGAGTGATTTTGCGCATTGCAGAAGGGCGCAGGAGGGCAAGCATTTGATTCTTCCAAGGCACTGTGTGGATCCGCGTGACTTGGGCGAGGCAGGTGGATTCTTAAAAGTCGCTATTTAACTATTCGAGTTGCGCATGTTCGCATCAGAGTGCAACCCACTCGCGGGTGTTCTGACTGGTCCTCGGTCAGGGCAGCGAAGACCTGGTCCTCAGGGAATCCTTCCGGCAGCTGAATGTGGATGCGGTTCAAGATGCAGAGGAGGATGGTGTTGTCACAATTTCTCACATTTGGCCATTTGATTCAGGGAAGCTGATTGGTCAGAGGAGGAGCTGGACAGGCTGAAGGCGTCCTATCCGAACGGGCACGAAGATGAAGGCAACATCTGCACCAAGAGCCGAGGTTTTGAAGTGCCGTATGAAGTGCCCCGTACGACTTGGGGCGGGGAGGGGCGGTGGGCACCCCTGTCGTATAAGTTTCGTGAGGCGCGAAAGCGACGGATCGCGCAGTGCCATCCTTCGAGTCTTTCTTTGGGGCCGCCGCGGACCTCCTCTACTACCACCCGGAGGAGAGCACTCGTCGGTAGAGAGAATTTTCGCAGTGAGCTCACTAAACATCGCGATGGCAGAGCAGGCATTGAAATTTTGCTGTCATGGTCATGATGTTGCAATCATCACGAACATCGAGCCACCTGCATCCATGGGGGGTTATCGCATCTTATGGGCCATGTCTCGAATCTCGAAAGCTCAGACGAATGACCACTAGGGCGGAGACTGGGCTTAAACCAAACAAGGCAATTAGGGAGCTAGAATTCAGGCAGGAACGGAGACTCTTCTGGACCCCGAGATTTCACGAGCTTCCGAGGTGAAGGCGGACTATGCGCCGTTCCTGAAGTGTGTCAAGTCCCCAGAGAGGTTGCGACGCTTCTTCGATCGGCTTTTCTTCGGCACCGTGAAGGACACACGCACACAAGCCCCAGGGGCACCAGGGCCCATAGAACATGCTGAGCACACTCGATGCAGGAAGCTTGTGAAGAACTGCAGCTGGACGATCAGACCAGGCGGACAAGCCAACACCAGAGCCGCTTTGGGCTGCTATCTGCTCCTTGAGGCCTCTTGCACGCATTCGCTCCTTGGCGTATGAGGCGCAGCAGGGCCTTCTGTTGCCACCGTTTTGCAAGTGTTCGAAAGCACTCGGGCTTTTCTCTCCGCACCTCTCCTTGCTGCTCAGAGGAGTCCCCAGGCGCGAGGTTGCAGCGTCGGCCACGCGAACGTCCGGGTATTGCCGTGAAGGCACGTCTGCCACGTATGCCCTAGTGTGAGCCCTGCAAGTCCCAAAGCGCCTCGCAAAGAGCCGCTGCGTTTGGAAACAGGCTTTGCCGATCGACCGCTTCTTGAAAGCTTGCGGGCAGTTGGCTCAGCTAAGAAAATGGCCGGTTCCGATGCAGGACGTATCGACCTCACATTCCTTCTAAAGCCCGGTAAGCCACATACAAATCATCAGCCAGCAGACAGCCTTGCCGTGCCACACCTGTTCTTATAGTAGAAGCCTCCAGATTTCTCAACTGCCATCAGCAGTTTCAAAGAATTTCCTTTGATCTTTCGACAGCCACAGAAAGACATCCCAGTCTCCTGGCGCAACTTCAACTTAGAGGCTTCGTGCTGCCTTGAGAACCATTGCATACCACTACGCAAAATGCTCTTGATATCTACAAAGCAGACCTGGAGCCTCGGTCCTTTGCGCGCCCCCCGTTTTGCTTCCCTTAGAATCGCAGCCTCTGGCATGGAATCGGGCACTTGCGGTATCTTGCGGTAATCTGGCGTGCCCGGTTGACGCAGGATACTTCTGCGGCTATTTTGCAATGTGAGGTCCGGCCCGCCTCGCACGTGGGTCTCGGGGCTGGCCGACCGTGTCGCCAAGGCAGGTGGTGAGGCCTTCACTTCGGCAGCTCAAGCTGCCTATCACATGCAGGCCGGGGAAGGCCGTTGCGTTACGTACATGCTTTATAACGTCTCTGCACTGCCCTTGAAACCCAGGTAGAGCAGCTGCTTGCTGACCCGAAAAATGCCGATGAAGATGGTGATTACTTCGAGGACACCTGCAGATCCTTGCAGATGTCCAAGTAACAGCTGCACCGACGTGGGCGAAGTTTGGTGCAGTGCATCAATGGAGTCGATTGTGACGGATTGTGTTGAAGGCTTGGCTCCGAGAAGTTTTCCCACAAATCTACGAAGATGTGGACTCCAGTGACCCTGCCGAGTTGCGCAAGCTGGACTGTGTTTCATGTTGAGAGTGTGTCGAGAGTGTGTCGAGAGTGTGTCGACGGTGTCTTCCGCTACCTGAGTGATCATGAAACAGCCTGTCAGGACTACGCCCCAAGTGAGAAGAAACCCAACAGCAAGAAGCATCGGCACAAGCGCCTCGACGCATGTCAGCTTTTCAGAGCCATGTGCTGCAAGGCCATGAGATCCCGTACGTAGCAAGTAACTTCTCGGCCCTCCGCCAAAGGGCAAGCATGAGGAGACCTGGGCTCACCATGTTTGGGTTGTGTGTTTGGGGGCGCGAGGGGTGGGAGGGCAGAACGCCACACGCTTCAGAGATCACGTGGCAAAGATCGAAATACCGGAGCCTCGCAAACGGCCGGCAGGCAGAGCAGGCTCTCTATCTCTTGTTTTCTTGCTTGCGCCTCTTTTTGTTTTGTCAGTCTCCCTCTCGTTCTTTCTCACGGACATGATTTTTATGCGCATGACAATCATGTCTCTCACTCTCTCACTCTCTCTTTTTATCTGTCTGCTCTCTACTGTCGTATGTGCATAACCTCTGGTGAGGCCAAATGCGGTTAGAGAAGAAGCCTGTCAAAGCCCATGGATGGCCCACTCTGGCGCCCAGAGCTCCACACATAGCAATGGGTACATGAGGCTGTAGGCTGTGTAGCCAAGTTTAGCTCTAGTCTCTCCTGCCCAGGCATGCTTCGGACAGCTACAATGCAGTGTGATGCAGTTTTTTGAAGTGAAGAGTAGTCGCTTGGAGATGCCTGATGAAGGCTGAAGGACATCACGATTCCGAACTTTGAGGATGCATTCGCTGAGTTGAACAGGCAGGAATCTTCAGCTGAACAACTCAGTGCAACCGGATACAATTTGTTTGACATGTGTAAAACAAACACATTTTTAGACATGCCTTTACATCATTGTGTCAGGTTTGACCCAGATGAGCGAATATCCAATCGTCGGGAGAGGGTGCTGGCCAAGATCCTGATCGATGCCTTCCTCTTGTGTGGCTTGATTTGTGATTTTGTGTCGAGAGTCGAAACTGGGGTCAGGTTCGCGGGCTGTAGAAACCACATGAGAAATGCAAGATCACGCTGGCAGTTTTGAGGAGGTGACTTGCTGAAGTCTGCAATGTCTACTTTGCTGTCATTGCTTTCAGTACAGATTTGTGCCATTCTGCGCCTTAGGCATCGTGGATGTTGCTGCCGTCCTCAAGACAGCGGAGGATCGGATGACCATGCTCTTCGCAGCAAGAGACTGTTAGAGACCGCTAGAGACCGCTCGGCAGCGTGACAGGACGTGAACAGCATTGTTCCACAATAGTTTTTTCTTGTCATGCAGGGGTTAAAGTTAAAGGAAGACCTGCTTCCACAGCCACCCAGATGGACACACAGCTAGGAACCAGGAGAACCGACAAGAGGAAGTCAGATGTCCAGAGAGTCTCCCCCCGAGTGTCTTCGGAGGCAATCCTCAAGGCACCGGAGGGCTCGAAGCTGGTACTGGTGCTCTACGCTGGGGGCACGCACATCCAGCACCAGGCGATACTTCAGATTCTCCGATCTGAAGGTATCTGAAGCTCTTGCTGAGGGCTCGACCATGTTTCGACCATTCTTGCTCCGTTTTGGCTCAATTTCTGCTGTCAGGTGAAGTTTTGGCAAGCTCAAGGCGTGTTCTGCATGTTCTGTGCATGACGTATCGCGGCATCGCGTATCGCCGTTTTCGCAAAGAGATCCGTGCCGAGCACCGCACAAAACTCACAAACCATGACGCCTTTCAACTGATGACAGACTTTGACTATTACCTTTGTCGCTTTCTCAAAGCCTTGCAGCAGATTGTGTTCCCAGGAATGTAGCATCGTGGTAGTTAATGAAAATTTGTGCCAAGCGTGGCAGTTGCATGGTACGAGTGTCGCCGTAGTGTAAAAGATGATGAAAGTTTTCTCGCATACTTTCGCAGAAGCTGAGCTCGGCCTCTGCGTTTCCTTGGACGTGTCGAAAGATGCCGACGACTGTGCACATTGCACTCAGAAGAAAACTACAGGAAGAAGATATATCACACATTGAATCGACTACCTTGGTCTTGAGTCATGAGTAAAGAGGGTGTAACAGCAGCCTCGGAGAGGATATCAGCAACTTCATGTAGTTGAGAGGTTTTGCCATGTCTGAGCCTGAGCACCACCTGCACCTCACCAGTAAACTGCTCTATTTGTGAAGCACTCTGATCCCAGTATCTGCTTTTCAGAGCATGGGACTATATGTTACCACTACTCTTTCAATGATGCTTTCCATTGACATGTTCAAGATAGTCCAACTTCCCCATCTTCTTGAAGTTCACAAGCTTGTCACGCTCTTTGGCAAAGAGGCTTCAGCAGCAAGGCCTTGCCCAACAAAGGGATCATTGGCCAGGATGATTACGAGGAGCAGAAAGAACTAAAGCATTACACTTTGCATCCCCCCCACCTGACATGCTTCCACATGATCTTGCGCGATACTCCTTGGTGACATATGAGAGCGGCCAGCGATCTAGTCTAGGCGGCCCCTGGGCCCCTGTGACTTTCCCAGCATGGCCTGTCTTCAGGAGTTCGAGCCAAGAGGATTCGATGTTCCAGCGTGCCTGAGAGATTTGTCGCAGCTGTTTCCTGTGCCTTGATGCACACGAAAAGACCCGTTGCGTGCATGTTCAGCTTAGTTGTCTTCCTGTGTGCCGGCATTTGTCTTGGCAGCTCCCTTTGGCCACCGCCCTCGCGGGCTTGTGATGTGTGCTCCGAGACGGCTTCGTCACCTTGCTTGCAATGCACTGCTAGTGCGACGCAGGCCATGATGGAGCATTATCGGTGCTCCTGGAAGCAGGCTTTGTGCATTCCACCACCTCACATGGACGAATCCAACTAGTTTGCACTAGTATGAGTTGTAGGTGATCGTTGTCACTGTGCAGGCCCTCGAAATGTCCGGGCATGCGGAGCTGGCGAAGGTCAGGAGAGAGGTCGGAGAGTGACATGCCTTCGTCTCTTGTTTGTGCTGTTGCCGCAAGTCGGCACGATGGAAGAGACTGCATTGGAGGCCCAGGAAGCAGTTCAGCTGCCCGCCGCAGTCTTGGCAGCAAGTTCTTGATGCGCCTGGCAGACCTCACACGCATGGTCACAGCTCTGGGTGCTAAGGGTGTACCATCCTTTGCAGCGAGTGGATCAGGCTGGAGTTTGCGCCCATCTTCATAGGAGAAAAGAGATGCTTCCGGGCTTTTTCCCAAGTCTGTCACACCAATACTTGCAACAAGTATCAACTAAGTATCAGATCTGGTTTGAAGAGATTCGAGAAGCTTCGGGAGCGTGATCCGTGCATACACCGGCTTAGTGAAGCTGAAAGCCGGTGGACACAGGCAACTGGTCGCCCTGCTCGGGCACACCAGGCAGTGCCGAGGCGCCCAGCCGTGACGGAATACAGTCGGAATAGAGAAGTAAGTTCCCTTCTGTTAAGATACGCTAAGCTTGTCTGTCTTAGATACTGCACTGTTGGGTGAATAGGGAGCAGGTCACCGCACTGCAAAGGAGATGATCTCTGTCAAGCGTGCCATGCAGGTCCCCCTGGCTTCTGCCACAGGCCTCTGTTGAGCAAGTGATCCCCGTCCAAGCTTTCCATTCGTGCTTGTATTGTTCATGCTTGTTCCTTATTCTGTGGTCGAGAGGTTTCAAGGATGCTTGTTACATGCAACATCTGTTCAGTGAGAGGCAAGTAAGAAGGGCCGTAATCGGGCGACGAGAGGCACAAAATGGGGAAAGATCCGCATTTTCATGGAAGTCTGAATATTTGGGCTGGGTCGCCTGTCACTGCGCGCAGCTTGGAGCAAACTCTGTTTGCCTAGCTTTTGAAGGCAACGGTACAGTGTACAGGAGAATAAGGGAACTTCTGAGCTGATTGTTGCAGGTAGCGGCTCCGTCCCTGTGTCCCCCGCAGCCTCGCGAAAGAGCTTCTGGCCACTTGCCGAGGCCATGTCTGGTGCCTTTTAAGGACTCTCGCATAATGTACTCGCGCGTTGCATGTTTTGAGTTTCTTGTTCAAAAAGGCGGGCACGGGGGGACCACCAGCCTTCAGCGGTGAAGAGGCAGCCGAAACAGGCACGACAGATCCTGTGAGAGTTTTGGCTACATGGATCTCTCTCTTCAGCACTGGCTGAACCTTGTTTTGGCCTGAGAACAGTGTTCAAGTTGCGAAGTTGATGGCGATGCCGACGGCTGCATCAGCCCATCAGCCGACTCGCCTGGTGTGAAGCCGAGTAATACTCGCCATGGTAACTTTTCTGTGCGCGTGGCCGCATCGTGCAGTTGGTGTCGTGTAGCTGTCCTCGACATGATAGGACTTTCCGCTGCATGAGTCCAGTGCAGACTTGCTCTCCAGACAATTGAGGACACTTGAGTAGAACAACCTCGGCCGAGCCAAGGCGCATGGCGGACAAGTGTATTCGGAAGCAATTGATGATGTTATTCCAAGAGTGCATGCTAGACTCCTCTGTGTGTGATGTTTGCTACTTGATGCGAAATACAGTGAATGTGCCTTTTCTGCTTCGGATGCGCCCCCAAAAAAGTGACGCGAAGCAGCAAAGTTAGACTAAACGCCATGAGCATAGTGACATAGTGGGCAATGCCGATGAGCTCCAGGCAAGTGCCACCACTTCCTCTTAGCTTGGTGGAGGCACACGACATAGCATGTTGATGCAGCAGATGCGCGAGCAAGGCCAACTGGAATGTCAATTGCCACCATATTCGGTCGTACGGTCATAGGCAAGATTTAAGTTACTGTCGACGTCAAGCGCTCACCGGGTCTTCCCGTTTTGTGACCGATGTAGGCCCAGGCCACGAAGACCACGACGGCCACGAAGCCGGCCGAGGCTCCGATTCTCCCGCTTGATCTGTCGCACGTTTACAGATGTTTACACCGGTACTCGTAGCTTTGTACAAGACGTGTTCAGGCTTCGGCGCCTCGGCTGTCGAGCGTCTGTAGCGACGGGAGCAGCAGTGGCCTCGGATTATGCGAAACGTCGCTGCGACGTCTTCGCCTTGTTGCGTGCGCCATGATTGCTGATATTGTTGCAGACTCTTTGTGGAAGACTGTGAAACCGCCTTGTGAGTGTGAGGCGAGCGACATTCACCTTGCTCTCCATCGCGCTCTGTGCTGTCGTTGGGGCCAAAGCAGATAGTACACTTCAATTCGCATATGCTGCATCAAATGCATTAGCAATTGACTTCGATACAACAGCCTCGAGTTCCCCTTCAAAAATTCTCCAATAGGCAGAATGGATTGCAGGAGTGCAGGAGAAGCGCTTGCGGCCGTCCATGATTTGGTTGGATTCTGTTCAAAGCCTCTTGAAGCTCAACTGTACTTTCCTGGGCTCTCCTGACGCCAAGGAGGCTTCGCTCCGTGGACTCGCCTACGGGGCCGCGAGCTTGAAGATCTTAGCCTCAAATTGAAGTTCCACAAGTAGAATGCACCTCGCACTTGACGACACATGGGTCCCTGGAGACTCGCAGTTGACAAACAACGAAAGCTTTGCGGAGCTAGGCTTGAGTTTAGTCTTGCTTTAGCAGGTAGACCCGACAAGGTCCGAAAGGCTGCCAGCTATTGATCGGGGGGCAGGCAACGTTGGTCCTTTCGCAGGAAAGTGCTGATTTGGTGGGGGGGGGAGGAGTGCATGGGGGTGGGGTCAACATTTCTTAGCTTGCTTCAAGATGAATGTGCTGCTTTGGGGGCTGGGTGGGGTGGGGTGGGTGGGGGATCAATATTGACAGAACCAATATGACTTCTTGGGAAGGTTGCGCACGTCAGGGTGGGGGGGGGGGGGACTTCGGTTTATGAGTCGTGTTTTTCCGTCAGCATGGACACTGCAACTACACCAAAGGCTCCTCTGCGCCTATTGCTCCACATCTCCCTCTTCTCAAGCTCATGCTCTTCCCCACTGCTCCCACGCGCCGCTATGTCTGTCTGCGCTTTGTCTCCTTCTCTCCCTCCACCCCTCCCTCCCTCTCTCTCGGTCTCTACCTGCCCCGCTTGTGCGCGGGATCTCCTCGCGCTTGCGCTAGCTTTCGTTGGCCTCGGCTGGCCCCTCAAGGCCTTCAATCAAAGGCAATCGTCAGTGCCGCAAGCAAAAACTTGGCTCCTGCCAGCTTTGTATTTTCAACTCGCCGGGGCCAGGAGGGATGCGAGGGATGCGCGGAATGCCGTGTGTGACGTGGACCGCATCTTCTGGTCCCCACAGCCGCTTGACTTCATGAGGGATGCTTTTTGACGAAAGAGTGGTCCACAAAGGCCATTGTGGCTAGTGTGTTGCGAGGCCAGACACTCCGAGCCTGCCGAGCACTCCGCGTCTACAGACACTGAGCTTCATCATCGTATCTGCACATGGCATGGGCGGTACATAGGCTACCTTTGGATGAGTTGCCTTTCCTTTGCCTCTAGGACACGGCACATCGGATTTCAACAGCAGCAGCCGAGGCCGTTCATGTAGAATGCATGCCGAGCCCATGCTGGAATGAACATTCATTTCAACAGAGCTTATTGTGAGCATAGGTGGCACAAACCATGTATCCTGCTCCGAACACTCAGCCAAGTTTCCAGTTCTTGGTGACCCAGCCTGATCAGAGCCGAGTCAGAAGTTGACTTCGCATCAGGATACTGTTGCGGAGCAGTGCTTCAGGCGAGCCCTGCTCACTTGCTGACCGTCTGTTGCAATGCGCGGATCTGCTTGGCATCCCAAAGACCACATCCTTTTTCTAGATGTGGTGCATTATCCGGAAAGAATTCTGACAGGTTGCAGTCGGAGGTGTAGTTTGCCCCCCCCCTCCCCTCCCCTCGAAGGGTCGGAAGGGTGGTGAGTAGCGAGCCGTGTGTGTGTGTGTGTCACAGCGTATTGCCAGCCCATCCTTCTTCGTCATCCACGGCTTTGCCTGGTCGGGAGCTTGTTTGCTCTATGCTGAAGGGCTGTGTGCTTCATGAAGACAAGAAGAACTTAGTAGGACAAGACCTTGAGGTTGCAGAGGGTTGCCACGTCCTTCTGTGGTGTATGGCTTGACTGTCCATGCCCAAGTCCGGGGTGGCGAGCTGGTCTCAAGGGCCTGGAGTGCTCTCCGAGCTATGACAAGCATCAGTGGCAAGTGTGAGCAGACACAGCGTCGCCTTGTTCAAGGACGGCTCGCGATCGACCGCTCCGCAAGTCGTGATGTCCTTAAATTATAACTTCTTGCCAGGCCAGGAATGTGAGCAAAACACCAGCAAGATAGGTTTTGCCGGGTGCTGCTGAGGTGTCACGTCTTCTTGCCACCATGGCGCCCGCGGAGCTGGCAGCGTGCGCCGTCGCGACAGGGAATCTCCTGGTAGTGCCTAGCATGTCAGCCAATGTTGACTCGTGTAGCAGCGTATCCCAGGTGTCCTTTGCTTAGCTTGCCGGCGCCAGTGCCTGCGGAGAACGAGCTGATGCGAGCCTGCGAGCAATCGTGCCTTGTCCGACTAGTTGACGGCCCGTTTGAATGAGGTGAAGATTCACGGGTCAGGCCCACTATGCCAAAGAGGCTTCTGCAAAGAAGAAGTTTTGCCTTCGCGCTCAGGCTCGCAGAAGCCGAGAGGTCCAATGATTGGAGGACAACGCTGTCCTTGGCAGAGCCAACATTAGAATTTGGAGCGTGACGGTCAGAAAGTTACAAAGCGTTGAATGCACCGAAATGGGCTTAGTCTGCGGCGAGGAAGCAGGAGCTGGCAGTAACCTTACGGCACCTCAGGCCCCCCATGCCACAGATTGCCATAGCATTCCATGTGCCATGTTTCTTTGTTTCTTGGTCTTCTTGCTATGTTCATGGCCAGGTCTCAGCTGATAGACATCAATGCGGTTGCTGCCACTGCCCCGGCTTGCGAACCCACTCTTGCTTCATTTGACCTGCATTTGTTCGCCTGACTAAACGACATGTTGCAAGACATCATGCTTTGGACCTTGATGCTACTACTCGTAGCTGTTTTATCTCAGTGCGCCATGGCTTTGCTGCCTGGCGCCCTGAGTGGCCCCAGCGTGCACAAGCCTTATGGTTTCGGGGTCAGCATGTTCAGGTGTGTGTGTGTGTGTGTGTGTGTGTGTGTGCGTGCGTGTGCGTGTGCGTGTGCGTGTGCGTGTGCGTGTGCGTGTGCGTGTGCGTGTGCGTGTGCGTGTGCGTGTGCGTGTGCGTGGGCGTGTGCGTGTGCGTGGGTGTGCGTGTGCGTGTGCGTGTGCGTGTGCGTGTGCGTGTGCGTGTGCGTGTGCGTGTGCGTGTGCGTGTGCGTGTGCGTGTGCGTGTGCGTGTGCGTGTGCGTGTGCGTGCGTGCGTGCGCGCGTGTGCGTGTGCGTGTGCGTGTGCGTGTGCGTGTGCGTGTGTGCGTGTGTGTGTGTGCGTGGGCGTGCGCGTGCGCGTGCGCGTGCGCGTGTGCGTGTGCGTGTGCGTGTGCGTGCTAAGCTTATGCATGCTTTGCAAGCTGAACTTGCTTAGAGCAGACGCTCAAGAGACGAGGCGGCCGCTGCATGCACCACAAGCAAGATCGCCCCCATCACCGAGTGCAGGGGCTCCGCGCTTCTGGCGTGAAGGTGCGGGGTGTGGCGATGTGCTCAAGCTATCTCAAGATGCCATTTCGTGCCTCAGTGTCTCATTCGCTGGAGGCTTGGCTGGTGCGGTGTCTGTGATGGGCGCTCAGGTTTGGAGCGCAAGGCGAGATGCCAGGAGGCACCCCCGGTGACCCAACGGACCTAAAACCTAAATTCCTGGGGACATCGTCTGCAACCGATGTTACGCAAGGACATGGCATGCCTTGAAGCTTGGTGTGTGCGGCAAGTCTGATGAAAGTCTGCCTTTGCCGGTTTGCTGTGCCTTTGCAGGCCAGGGTCCGCAAAGACAGCCAAGAAGGCCAAGGCCGGAATCCGGCAGCTGCGTTCGGTGTAGCGTGTGCTGAGTGCATTCTGAGATGTCTTCTTTGCATCTTTGATCGCCGCAGGGCGGCTGGCCTGGGTCCTTTGTCGCGGCAGGGGATGCCTCGGAGCTGCTCAAGAAGGCGGAGCCCCAAGAAGGAGTTGGCGAACAAAAACCATTAAAAAGCACTCCGTGCAAAAACTGTCAAGCTCCAGGTTCAGTGGCCTGCCGAGTGGCCATACGACGAGGCCTGGAATGCCCACATCTGCTCACAGGCCATTCGGCAAGAAGGCCACTGAGCAGTCGATGTCAGGCAGACTTTGCCCGCCAAGACGAGTCGTCCGACAATGGATTCTACTCACAGCCCAGGATCTGCACGCACGTGGATGACACCTTGTTGCACTAATAGGCTCATTTGGCATGAAGATTACCCATATCGCCTGTGCTCTCACACGTCTTCCTCCGTTCTCAAAGCCAGAGTCCCAACTCGAGGAGCGGCGCTGAAACATGCCAAAGCCCAGAGCTCCAAATCTTGCTTAGCAAGTGGCAGTGGTGACTACTTTCCAGTAAGCACACAAATTGCTGAAGCAAACAAAGCACAAACGGCATGTCTCAGCTGCATTCTCCTGGCACCCAGGACAATTTCATCGCAACGTTGACGAAGCATTACGGTGAAGTCTTTCCTCTTTACCCCAATGCGGCCTGTATGCATTGCGGAGTTCTGCTCTGTTGAGCCCATGCTCAGCCACGCTCTGCTTCAATGTTCGGGCATGACGAGTAAGGCACGGATTCTTGACTCCCAGCTGCATTCAAGCACGTAACCGAATGACATCGCCAATCTGTTGGCAATGCAGGGCTGTTCCTCCAGACATGTGAGGGTCCGGGCTTGTCGTTCATGCTGCATGGGGATGAGGACATTTGCTCCAGCTGGATCAGCCATTATCCGACGGAGAAGACATGGTCACATGCAGCTGGACGGCAGCTCTGACAGAAGGTCAAGTTGATGGATTTGCGATACTCAGTGGTGATGGTCAAATGTGTGCAATCGATGAAGGCTTGTGTCTGCGTCTAAGGTGTCCATCACTGGAATGAATGCAGCCCAGCCGAGAGGAGTGACGCACTGGTTCATACCAGTCGGATGCAAATGTCTCGCTGAGGATTACGAGCTGGCTCAGAACAAGCAGGCAGACGACTACACCGCAGCCCGCCTGCACGCCGTTGAATCAAAGGATAGGAATGTGCTTGGCAGGGATAGCTGGAACATGCTATGAGTTTGTTCATGCCTCTGGTGGTGGGAGTGTCTTGCCTACGTGGAAGACATGCATCAAGGTCCGGGACCTTAACAGCAATCCCAAGCTGCCCTACGATGACGCGAGCTGTGCTTAGGGGAGGGCTCATCAGCTCAGATGCTTGCGTGCAAGGATGCCATTGCCCAGGAGTTTCGATATTGTCACCTGCACGGTGTCTTTCGACTACTTGAACAAACCGCTCGAGGCAGTCAATCTGCTAGCAGGATTCCTCCCCGCGCCTTTTGCCCCCGTATGCCCCCGTCTTCAGGTGATGAAAGATGTTGGCCGTGTCTTGAAGCCGGGCGGCATGGTCATCCTCTCCACTAGCAACCGGTGTTTTCCCACCAAGGTGGATTGGATGCAGACGTGCTTGATTGGCTATTCTTGCTTTGCTTGAGCGGCTGCTGAATTTACTGCTTGTGCTTTGGAGACATGGCAGTGAAACCCGAAATGTTGTGAAGAGCAAGCGGCTGCGTTATTTGCAGGCAGTGAATATCTGGCTGCAAACTGGTGATTTGGAGCACGTGGGGATCTCAGTCACCCGCCAGTTGATGTCACCAGCATCCCAAGCCCCAGCGTGGCTACGAGTCACGAATAGGCAAAGCTGCAGCTTGCATGGTGCGTAGCGTGATCACCCATTAAGGTGCTCATCTACGGCAGCTACATGCACCTCGGTAGCAATGGCTATCATAGCAAAATGCTACAGCAAAACAATGAAGTGCCTGACAAGTTGCTCAGATGGACCGGGCACCATGCGATGCGATACCACGCCGTAGAGACACGTATGAGGCACTATGCGGGCGTCTTCGAAGCTCCTGAAGCTTTAGCGCCTGAGTTGCGGCTAGGACAAGCATGAGACTGCAATGCGTTCAGTGCCTGTCCGAGCTGTGCATTGGGGCCGTGAAGCGGAATAAGGACCTTTCAAGCCCTTTGTGCCGCCTTGGATTTCAAGATCCTGTATACGTGATTCGTGCGAAGACGCTCAACATTACTGTGTTGCCCCTTTCGGCCCATCCACCAAGTTAATCGACATGGACCTGGACGTATAATTCAACCGTAAGTTCACGCTACGTGACCCGCCTCGGCCGGGGTCCACCCAGTGGCAAGGCAAGCCCATACCGTGGAATCGGGGTGCATACTACGGTCACGAAGACGCGAAGACGCGAACAAAAGAGAAAGCATAACGAGGCGACGAAGAGGGGGTTTCGGGGTGGCAGGGGGGGGGGGTGTTGGCACGGCAAGTGGGGGGGGGCGGGGGGTACCCTCCCCCACCCTACTAGGGTGGGGGAGGGTAGGCGGGGGAGGGTAGGGAGGGGTGGGTGCAGGGAATGAGCCGGCAGGGGGGGGGGGTGGGACGGGGCTGCTTTCTGCAAAGTTTTTTGTTCTCAGCTCAAGAGCATCTGAGGAAGAAATCCCAACAGTGAGATGCGCTGAGCAAGTCCAGCTGCGGTCTAGCGGGCCTAGCGTTGTTGAAGCTTACGGCTTGACCGGACAGCATGGGAATCCTCATGGTATTGGCTCAGAGAGCGTTCCTATGGCAAAAAGCAGAGATGACAATGACAGCGGCCGGTTTGTGTCTTGTGAGAAACGGACCACATGCTTGTTCAGCTAACACTGAGAGCAGGACCGTGAGGTTTCTTGATCAAAATCACGACTTCTGTTCTGTATAGGAGAGGTCATGCGGCCAGCAATCAATTTTCACGCACGCCTTCACCTGGACGTGCTTCATACCTGAGCTGGATTGGGGATAACGGATGCAGCGCGGCCGGGACATGCAAGTCTGCGTATTCTTATTGTCTATTTGCGCGTGGGCTCACTGATCCCACTGCTTTCCATCATGTGCAGTTTGAGTCTCCCTGTTTGCACTGGCATTGTGCGCTGACCGAACTAGCCCTCTCACGCGCCTGGCTTGAGGCTGCATCTCGAGTGCGGCGTGCTACGTCACCCCCAGGCAGGGCACGCCTTGGAGCACCATCTTAAGCCACCGCCGTACCACCCTTAAATCACCCCACGCCAGTTCAGTTGATGTTAGATTCGTTACATGCCAGGCTCTGCCCCGTCGCCCCCAGCGGCTCCACCAGCTGCGGCAGCCACGCCGTCGCGGCTGATGCGCACGGCGCCACAGACCCCGAGATCTGGCACAAGAGGCCAGACTTGTCACTCCGAGACAGCATTCTTCAGGCCTTGTGGAGTGGGGGTGATCCTAGCTTCCCTTGCCTTGGCTTTTGCTGCTGCTTCTCTTAAAGGATCGAAGAAAGCCTCCTGTTTTCTGGCTCGCCTTTCGCTGTTATTGCGCATTGGCGGACCAAGCAGCGAGCCTTAACGCGGCTTTGCTGTGAAGATTGTCACGACCGCGTGAAGAGGATGAGAGAAAATTGCGGGCCCACCAGCAGACGCCGGAAGAGCTCGAGAACAGCTTTGACACCAGCTTTTCCACTGCCGCAAGCAGGCCAGAGGACCTTTCCCAGGCCTCCGAGATATCAGAGGCGCTAAAAAGCTCAGGGCAACCACAAGACGAGGACGCGGAGCAGGCGCTGTGACGGGAGCAGATGCAGCAGCAGCTCCAGGGACGGCATAGCACCGCCGCTCATGCACCCCGAAAGGATAGGTTCGCGCGTGCCTTCTGCAGACAGTTTAATGTTCTCATGAAAAGACAAACGCCTGACCGGCCACTACCGTCTGTAGCAGCCAGTTCCGTGCTGGCGGCCCAAGGTAATGGAGCTGGGGGTTGCCCTTGACGTCGAATTCGTGGTGGTACGGCCAAAAGGTGCGGAACAGCTGAGAATTCCGGATCAAACCGAGCTTGAGCTTGCCGGCGCCGCGGCCCTATTGCCACACGAATTTGGCACGAGACCTGGCGAGAGAGCGAACAGCGTAGCGGAGCAGCACTGGGCCTGTGAGCCTTGGAAGCGGAGAAGAACGGAACACTCCGTGCCTAGCAGGAGGCTGTTTCGCTGTTCTTCATCTTTGCTCCTGGGCGGGCAGAGCCGCCTGCTTCACGTTCTGGTTGATTCTGTAGTTCAATTTCATGATGCTTTTCTACACACGGGTCAGTATGCCACCATAACGATCACGACCTCAGAGCAGTGGAAGTGCTCGGGCTGCGCTCTGGCACAACCTGAGGTCATGAAGTGTCCGGGATTTGTTTCTCCATCAAGCAGACCTCCGAAGCTAATCAGTAGTAGACCAATGTGACCCACTGTCCAGCGTCTACAGTAGTGCCGACCCGGTTGAAACCGCGTGCGATGCACGGCAGGCGTGGAGGTCTTGGGGATTGTTATACGGAATTTTACCAGCGACAGTCAACTCTGCAGGTGTTCACAGTGCTTCGCTGTTCCGCGCTTTGAGCCCTCCGCCTTCAACTCCTTCGAATCCTGTCCCTCATCTTGAGATTCAATAGATTCAGTGCACTGAGCTGCACGTCACTGAGTTGCACGTCGCAAGTTCGGCTGGTTTGGGTTCTGCTTTCCAGCCCAGGCAACACCTGTGGTGCAGATGAGACCGTTTATCCCGCAAGTGTCAGCCTCGCTGCGTGCAGAGTGCGCCCAGATGATTTGCTTCAGCAACTCTAATGACTCTAATTTCCACGGGTGGTCCGACAGCAGCAAAAACGCTATGCGGTTGGCACATGAGAGTCACCGTTAACGAGTATCTGAATAAGTCTGATTATACGCATCCGCATGATTCCGCATGCCTTGAAGCAAAAACTACAACTCTGATGCCAACACTCAATATTATCAAAATATATTTTATTAATAATATTTTTATTTAAATATTGTTAAATGAAACAATCTATTTAAATTGACCTCTTGACCTCTTGAACTTCTGAGGCTCCTGCGGCTCCTGCGGCTTCGGCGACGTCCCCGCCCACCCCGCGAGTCACAAGCCTCTTCGACTCACTAAGGGACTCTCAAACGGGAATCAAAGGATGGAAGGGCTCTTCTTAAGGGCCATCATGGGCCGCTGGAAGGGGGCAGAGTCTCTGATTCAGAGTGTGAAAGTCTGAGGCCCAGCCCCGGTGGCCACAGTGCCTGCAGGAGCCTTGTTTCACCTTGTTTCACCTTGCCTTCATGCCTCTCTTGCCGTCCCTTGCCCCTTGTCACTGTGATGGTGACTGCGTCTTCGAGGATTTCGTCCTCTTTGAGTTTCTTGTTTCTGTGTCCTTGCGCAGGAGTTGCAGCCACACCGGCCTTCTACACCGCAGAGGCTGCGCTGATACTGTGGGGGCTTGATGTTGTCTGAAGAGACTTTCATGCGCCACGTGCCTTCGAGCGTGCAAGTAAATATTGAGAATGAGTTGTTCTGGCCTGCGCAGGCAGCTGCTCTGATGGAAGATTGGTCTGTGGCTTGGGAAGCTAGTTTTGATTTGATGCCATGTCATATCAGCATGTTGGCCAGACATAGAGCAACGCCTGCACAGTAGCGGCACGACGTGTTTGTTTGTTTGTTTGTTTGTTTGTTTGTTTGTTTGTTTGTTTGTTTGTTTGTTTGTTTGTTTGCTGTCCTTCTGTCTGTGGCGTGCTTGCTTGCTTACTTGCTTGCTCGTTTGTTTGTTTTTTTGTTTGTTTGCTTGCTTGTGAGTGTGTGTGTGTACGCTCTGTTGACAAAGAGTTCTGAAGAGGCAACTTCATCAGGAGTCTCTGGTGCAAAAGCAGGGGGGTCACCCACGACCTTGACTGGTGACCCAACGAAGAGAGTCAAGTGTTCGTGCTGAAATCTGGCCTGATCAGCCAGACGTACCTGCAGTTTCACTCGCTGATTGCAATTTGCCGAGCTCGCAGAAATACAGCTCCGCAGCATTGACATTGACTGCACCCTAGGACTGTATGCTTTTGGTGGCAACGCCCCTTGCATGTCGAAAGCATCCGCCATGAAAGAAGCATGTGTCGCAGTCAATCATCGCAAGATCGCTTCCCAGACGGAAACTGGACTTCCCTCGCAGTGATTCTGAACCCTCACATAGGGCTCCACCGCGACATGGGGAACATGATTGGCATGTGTGAACACCTACTAACCTCTCGAGGGTCGTCCCAGTGTGTGTGTGTGTGTGTGCGTGCGTGCGTGAGTGCGTGCGTGCGTGCGCGTGCGTGTCTCTTTGTGTACCAGAGACATCGCTGCGGTTCCAAAAGTAAATACTCAGTTTTGAAGCAGGAGGCAGTGGACTCTGTGGAAAGCACTGCTTAACGAAGACTCTAGATTGTCGTGGTATTCTCGAGGGGCGCACACACACAGACACAGACACAGACACAGACACGCACGCACGCACGCACGCACGCACGCACGCACACACGCACACACGCACACACGCACACACGCACACACGCACACACGCACACACGCACACACGCACACACGCACACACGCACACACGCACACACGCACATTCACACACACGCACATTCACACAACATCGCATTCACTCTTTGACTGCATAGGCGTCCAGCACCGTGCAACCGCAGTGCGGCACCGTCAGTGCAGCGGATGCGCGTGGAGGCATGCGGCTCAACACAAAAGGAAGCCAATATTTTTGTTTAGAGATGACTAGATTGGACTGTGGCCTTGCCATGTATGCAAAGATAATCAAGCACCAGGATCTGCCACTTGCCACGGTCCCACCGCCAGCGTGGGTTGCGCCACTGGTGTGGGTCTGAGCACTACGCAGGAGATGTGATACTCGTGAGAAATCCTGAGCTTCAAAAGCTGTAGAAATCAGAAAAGCATGGACATATGACACAAAGAAAGCCACAAGGCCACGGTGCCTGTGGTGTCAGCTGCCTGGCCCTTGGTTGTGAGCGCAGTGCAAAGAGTTGACTGCTCTGCGCGCGCCGCACAAAGTGCCACTTGCGCTTTGCTTGTGCTTTTGCTTGTGTGTGTGTGTGTGTGCATTGCGCTCGTGATGTGTCAGGCGCCTTCGCCTGTGGCTGCTGTCAGACATGCGCAGCCCGTGGAAATGTTCCCGATGAGGATACAGGAGTCGGATGGAGCAGGTTTGTCATCGTTTGCAGTTCTCAGGCTCCTCGAGTGGCAGCTTAGAAAGCCTGTGCGATTCGGGTGCCACACGCCCGCATAAAGTTGGGCATCTTGAGCAGGAGTCACTTCCTGCCTCGTACCGCCCCGTGGTGCGAGCTGCCACCTGATGCTGTCAAGTGCTCCCAACTTTGCTTCTCAACACGGCAAGTGTCTCAGTTTAGGTAGAGGTTTCATGATGTTTCATGCTTTGACGAAAATCCGGCTCAAAAGGCGGCTCAATTGCGGTACATCGCACGGCGGCACAAAACCCAAGACTGGGTGCATTGACAGAGGTTCGCCATCGCGGCATGCTTCTGCATGTCCCTAAAACATCTAAAAGAGGTCATGGGGCTTGTAAAAAAACAACCCTAAACCCTAGGCCCTAAACCTTAAACCCCAATCCCTAAACCACACCCTGAACCCTAAACACCACACCCTGAACCCTAAACTCCAAACCCTAAACCTTAACCTAAACCCACTCGCATTTAGGGAGGGTTCGGCCCGCGATGCCTTTGCACATGCTTGGCATCCTGGCATCTGGTGGCCCGATGGCCTTCTCCCAGGTGGGCAACAAGCCGGGGCCACACCCTGAGAGTTCAGATTCCGGGCCTCGGAGCCTTTCTCGTCTTGCAGCAACGACAAACAAGCGATAGCAATGAATGTCTATAAGTCTATGAGCATGTCGCCAAGGCCAGCCTCTTCGTCTGACGAAGGAAGTCAACCTTTGGATGATGCGTCAACATCTGAAATGACGGATAGTGAGGCCTCGTCGGATGCCAGCAGCTCGGTGCCTCGTCTGACTGTTCTTGCTGTGTCGCGAGGAAACTCTTGCGCCACCTGACAATGCCTGACTCTAGCCCAGTTGCAGTGCATGGCAAGGAGGAGGTCGCCGTCGGTGCGACAAGGACCATGCTGACGCGAAGTGCAACGAAGCTAGCGCTCATGAGACACAATCTGACAAACGGTGTGGGCCTCAAATGCGACAACGAAAGAAGCTCCCTTTGCCTAGACAGCTGTGCTATGCTGCGTTCTGACATGAGAAAAGATGTCACAAGAACAGCGAAGTCTAGCGCTCTCTTGACACTTCGTTTACGCTCTCTCTTATGTTCGTCACTCAGATTGTGCATGTTCATGTGAAAGCAAAGTGGATGCCACCCGTCTGGCAGATCCCCCCTCCCGTGACCTGTGCTTCAAGTCTTCTGATATACTCAGCCTACAACCTCGCCTATTCAAATTCTCAGTCCCACGAGCTGTTTCCGCCGCTTCTTGTGCCTCATCCACCCTGTCCCCTGCAATATCCCTGATGAAGTCATGCAAATCGTAGCTTGTGGACGGCAAGCAGACATTTGCTGTGTCATTGTCGCACGAGCATAGCAAAAGCGATGTCGTGTGCAGACCTGCGTGGCGATGAAGTTGCAAGCAATGTGGGGTCTGGACAGTCAGAAGGACATGTACTGGTATGTGAACGCCACTTCCAAACCCAGAGAGTCTGTCACATGTACACGAATGTACTGTGTGCGGTGAGCTGCAGCTGCGGACGTGAGGTCGGCGTGTCCTGGGCAAGACACGCTGCCGAGTTTCGGGTTCTCTCCTCTTGCTGGGACTGATATGTTCCGTGCCTCGTCGGGCCGCTGTGAGCTTTTGGCTAGGTAGTGCTCTGCGCTGTCTAGGTGAAACGGGTGAAGATCTGCTGGCATGTGCCTATTCTCGAGCTTACTGAGGCGTGTGTGATCTTTGAATTCAGCCGCCAAGAGATCCTCGAGGAAGCGAAAGAGTTGTCCGCGGCGAAGTATTTCGACCAGGCAAGAATGCCGCTGTCAGCTTCTGCAAACGCCTTACCGATTCCAAGTTGTGCAATGTCGCCGGCGGAGTAGTAGGTAGTTCACAGATCTCAGCTGTTCATGGCTTGAATCCTGTGTTGTTTGGGCCAGGCAGTCTTTGGTGTTCTCCTGTATCTCTTTCAGATCGGCTTTGTCTGCCTTGCTCCCCTTGCAGATGATATCTCACTCACGCGTCTAGCAGCCTGGTTGCATGACAGACCGTGATGCCACGCGACGTGCTCCAGACAGTTTCAGGCGACAGAAACTAGACCTAGAGTAGGGGAATATGTCTATCGCTGGAGGTTCCAAGCTCTGTCCATGTCAGTCCGCGATGATTGTCAGATTGCAATGCTGTGTGGATGTGGCAAGGCTCTGATGCAGATAGGTTTGGTTGCAATGCTGGCTGAGCCTTGGTTCAACCAGATCCTATGTTGAGGTATCGTTTAGAATGCATCACGTTCAGTCGACACAGCTCCTGTGCAATCCAGCACTTCTCCAGACATCTCGAGTCATGAGGCTTTGGAAGCCTACAAGGTAAGAATGATGCGTGGGGTACTCGGGTTGAGAGGCTGTCTTCCTGGTGGGGCCGACCCTGTGGCAAGCCGACGAGAAACGTCGCAGTGGGGAGTGCAAGATGCCGCTTGGTGTTTGGAAGCCCATGGAGATTCGAAGCCAACGTTTTGAGTTCACTTCATCTTGAGTCCAAGCGTATGGCATGGCTGTGAACATGACATCTCCGTGATGCAAAGGTACGGATTCCACATGCCAGTAGTCGGCTGCGACATGAGCCTTGTACAGGTGTGCGTGTGCTGCAGATGCACTCAGAGTGCCTGGTCATGTCGCAGTCATGTCTCCACACAGCAAAAGCTAGCAGCAATAAACTCAGAAACGTGCTTCAGCTCAGGCGGATGGCAGCGCTTTCATTTGTGGTCCTGGCAAACTTCCTTGCAGGTCTCCTCCATGATGTAGCACGCATGCAGAGGCGCCATGCTGGGCAAGTTTAGCAGGGACACGTCGCAGACCTGTTGGGAGCGGATCTGCATGGGTCTGCTATTGATCTAGGCCGAGGCCTCGTGGCACAAGTTGACACTTTGGGATGCACTGTACGGGGATGGCTTAAGCTTTCTTTGGTACTCAGCTTGTGCTCGTTTCCGTATTCTCCCGCAAATCAGCTTGTTGAGGATGATGTGGTTCATCATTTCGCTGTTTCTCGTAATGGAGTCTTGGCTGGTTATATCAGTATGGTCGAACTTTGACGCCAAGAACGTTCAGTGTTGCTGTGGCATGAACAAATTGGACTGCTGTCGGACGTTCAGCTGGATGCTGATTTGTCAAGGAAATCGTGGCTGTTCTCATTAAATGCATCGCAGCACCTTGGGTTAAATGAAGCTTCGGAGCAGAACTCATTAATGGGGTCTCTGGTGCCTGTGAACGTCTCTCTTCAAAGGTGGGTGTGCTCATCCAGCAGCTTGACCCGATCAGCATGCGCTTTGTTGGAATGCTTCCGTCACTGGCCATAGCGCGCACCAAGCAACTTCGCAGCATCATCCAGGCTGGGCAACATATGGTGCTTCGATGTTAGTCCGAAATTAGTGAGCAAGCAGATCAAGGTTGCAGATGTTGCGGTGCATCTGTTGCGAGGGCTACATGCGGCCCTACCCAGGGTTCGACATGGGGAGGGTTGCCCATGATAGCACACATAGCACACCAGGCCAACAAAGCCACAGCCGAATGATGGCCGCCGTAAAGTACTGATACATGGTCATGCAAGTGTTCACTGGTGAAGATGCATGTTGACTGGTTTCGAGAAATGAGCCAGGCACAGCTTTCCACCGTCAAACTATTGTACTGTAACTTCTCCAGAACGCCATTCTCAGCTTGCTTGGCCCATGTGTTGGCCTCCCACTGAAGACGTCCGTCATGTGCAATGGTGCCCAAGGTGATTTCTTTCCGTACGAACATGCAAACGAGATGCCATGCAGTTCAGGACGCTGCGCAATCGGTTGATAACTTCTGTCAAGCCGCTCAGCGAAGCATTCCAGAAGGAACCCGACCTCATAAGGGCGTGCGACGGCGAAGGAGCATGCTCGGCTCGTGGAGAAAGGCACTCACGCGCAGCAGGGACCTAAGAAGCTTGAAGCAGGCTCGAAAGATGTGATCTTCCACAGCAGGCCACAGCCCACTTATAAGAATCACCGGAGTGCAATTACAAGTGCTGATCAACATCCTTAACATCTGGAGATCTCCTTGAGCCGTTAGCATGTGTCGGCCCGATTGAAGAACGAATACTGTTTCCTCCCCGGGGATCCTCTCCGCAACAGCATTCGAGCGGCCTGCGAAGCTCACATGAAGCGACACCTCAGTGGACTGAGCAACGGGGAGGAATCAAGGTACAGGGGAAAGGTCATCGACTGCCCAACTGGTCAATTTACCGCTCCGGCCAATGTGCTCGGGGATTTGCTCGAAGCATCAGCAAGCGTTAGCAACAGGGATCTTCACTCCACAGAAAGGCATCTGAGACACCAACGTGATTCACTGCGGAAGCGCAGAGCCTGTTCGGGGCTTCGTGGCCAAGTGCACAACGTGGGGTACCGTGCTGTGACACTTCTGCAAGTGCATGACTGTCATTCAAAAACGTGCTTCGCCAGGGCTCTGTTGCAAACTTCTTCCATTACCGAGAGAACCGCGCTGCGGCAGCCGGCATTGCCGGTCTGGTAGGCGATTGCTCCATCCCCGAGGTAGGGGGTGCTTGCGAACCTGTGCGTGTGTGTTGGTGCGTGTGAACTTTGCACTCCCTCTGAATCAGACTATCAGATTATCCTACATGTAATAGTCATGCTCTGGAGACTCTGAAGGTCATGGCCCAAGCCAAGAAGCGGTTTCGCTGCGTCGACTTCTCTAGGTGCATTGACTGTCGACAGAACTTCTCTGACACTTCTTGAGAAGTCAGCACAGATCAAGACGTAGCTGTTCGAGCTGTGACGAACGTCAGTATCCCGAGCATTGACTCACTTCTGCATCGCAGGCTTAAGCAAGAAGAGCTGGCAAGCAACACGCCAAGTCGGAGACCGAGCGCTGTAGATCCGGAGAGTTGGGGTCCGCAGTGTCACAAGCAGACTTGGAGTCAGATGGTTCGTTATCACGCTAGCGTTCATTGTTCTTGTTTACCTGGTCCGGCGCTTAATGTTAACGTCGCTTTAATAAAACCCATAAAACCCCCCCCCCCCCCCCCCAAAACTTGTTTTGGTCCCCGGGGTCTGGAGGGGTAGACAAAAACGAGTGGGTGCCAA